CCCACCCCACCCCCACCATGGCTCCCACTTGGGTTCTAAACTCTTGTAGGAGGTGGGAGTGGGGGACAGAGAGAGCCCTGGAGGAGAGAAGTTGGACTCTGGCAGGGTGAAGCCCCTGGTCCTATTTCTCTATCCCATCACCCAGCCCTGAAACTGCCTCCAAGGCCATGGACTCTCCAATTTGGGTCAGAAGTTTCTCTGGCGGGCCTTTGAGGTTGATCCGCCACTCCTTGCCACCTGAGCACTTCAGCCATATTTTTCACTCCAGCTAGATTAGTGAGCCGAAGGCTCTATTTAAGTTGCACCCTCCCCCTCAAAAAGCTTCGCAGACTTGCTAATCCATGATCCTCCCCCATCAGTCACAGAGAACACGGCAGAGGTAGGGGATGGGGGTTTGGGGGGATGCCACCCCCTACCCCAGGAGTCACACCTTCCTAATAGATGCTGCAAAATGGAATTTGACACTTGGTGACTTAATGATATTCTGAGTGGTGACAAATTTAATCTCAAAGTGGCTTAGATATTCAGAGATCGCTAGCCCCCTTGGACAGTTAAGGCACCTGAGGCTCAGAGAAGTGACAGAGCTCCGGTTCACATCGAGGTGTCTGACATCAGAGCCAGCACTAAGTGGCCTGCAAGACTGCCTAGGTCATGCACCTCCAAATCCTCCCCGTCTCCAGCCTTAGTCGTATTCCCTTCTCCCTTCAAATGATTCCAGGCACTCTGCCTGCCTGGAGCCCTTGCGCACCTTGAAGTGCGATTAGCCAGAAAAGTGTTTTCGGCCCTTTTACCAGGCTGAAATGTGGCGGCCTCAGAGGACACCAGTGGTGCAGTTGGATGGTCAGGCCTGCTGGCTGTGGGCAGCTTCATTATCTCTCAGCGGCTGGCAGGCCTGCTGCACTCACCCCCTCGCCTGGGAGCAGGCTCTGCGTGTATTGAGCTGGCACTGGGTCTAAACACCGGGGGCTGAGCCTGGGTTCCAGGGCTCTGCACTCATAGGACCTATTCATAGCAGGGCTTTGGGAGCAATCGCCATCATGTCAATCCCTGACATTTGTGTCCATTTCACTTATATGTCCTAGCTCGGTATGATCTTAATGTTTCCTCTAAGTAAGGAGAATATTACCCACTTCCCTGATGGGAAAACTCAGGAAAGAGCAGCTAAGTTGCTCACCCAAAGGCAAGAAACTAGGTTTGTGACTGTGATATCTGGGGTGCTTTGTTTCATAACATAGTGCCTTTCCTGAGCTGAGAGAGGAAGAGTTTCCCAAGGTGTTCCAACACCTGGTGACATGTGGCCTTTCATCCAGTCCTGTTACCCTGGGAAGGGACCACAGCACCACACTGCCCTTGCTACCCTTATCTACCCCCAGGGGCTGAAGCAAGGGCGCTAGATGTCCTGTAGGTAGTTGGCCTGCCCCGCTCCCTGGCTTCCTGTCCTCTGCGGCTCTCAAGGGCACATTTTGTCCCCTCTGAACCCAGTCTTCCTTCCTCTTTTCCCCTTCCTTCTCTCTTTCTCTCTCCTTGCTCACTGAGAGCTCTGTTTATATGACTCCATTATTTTTGCTTTTTGTATGTCCATTTTCCTGGGACATTTCCTAAGGTCCCCTCTGCCTTCTTTCCTCCGATGCAGTCTTGTTTCCCAAGAAGCATCTTCCGTTCCTATCCCAACCCCACTCCTCACCTCTCCTCCAGCTTCTGCCAGTGTCAAATTGCTCACATTCATGCATTCAATGGGCTCTTAATGAGCACCTACGGTGTGCTCCAGGAATTGTGTTAATGCCTGGGAATCCAAAGTCCAAAAGCTGTGCTGGAGCACCTATTAAGCACCTACTGTGTGCATTAGGCATTGTGCTTCACACTGGGGGCACAAAAGCTGGTTGTTACCCTTGAGAGATCTCTGGGCTACTTGGGAAGATGCACAAAAATAGGTCATTATAATGTCCCAGGAAATTGGGGACTGGGTGTGGCCAGAAGAGTCAGGGAGGGCTCCTCTGAGGAGGCCAATCTTCAAGTCTGACTGAGGAGCTAGCCCAGGCAGAGCAAGGGCACAGGGCATTGCAGGTAGAAGGGACAGTGTGTATAAAGGCACACGGGCGTTAAACTGCCCCCTGTTCTCTGGTGGGCACTTTGAGTTGTTTGGTCTGGCCTGGACATGGACTGCAGGTTGGGGAGCCCAGGGAGATGAGGCCAGAGGCAGGCAGGCCCAGATGGTGCAGAACCTCATGTTCCAGCAAAAGGATTGCCCTTTATCCTGGAGCAGCCAGAAGCCAAGTAGCCTCATGGCTCCCTGCAGCCTGGGAGCTTCAGGGCTGGGCATGGGCCAGGCCCACGGCTTTCTCTCAAGCTCTCATTAACCCATATTTACTGCCCTTTGGCTCAATGAGGCCTGTGGGAGAGTCAGACACTTAAATATAATGCTGTTTCCAAGGCACATTTATTTATTCATTCATAAATGTTTAGCAAGCTCTGATTTTGCCAGGTGCTGCTCTGAGCTCAGGAAATGGGCCATTTAACCCCACAGAGGTCCCAGCTCTCAAGAAACTTACATCCTTGGTAGTTGGGAAGGGAGGATAGGCCATAAACAGAGAAACAAAACAAATAAGTTAGCAAGGTAATTTCCCATAGTGCTAAGTGCAAAGAAAATAAAACAGAGTGATGCAACTGAGAGTGTTGGGGTAGGTTGGGTGGTCAGGGAAGTCTTCTCTCAGGACAGTTACATTTGAGTTGAAACCTAGACTGCAAGAACAAACCAGTATGTGAACATCGAGGGCTTAGGGTTCCAGCACATGCAAAGGCCCTGAGGCAGGAAGCAGCTTGGTGTTTTCTAGGTTTAGAAAAAAATGCTGGGTTCAA